AATGGGTGTGCTGGTGAATTAGGCAGGGCAATGTCACCTGGAAAGTGACACTTTTACAAGTTGGAGAAATTCAGTGCAAGAAATTTTTCAAAAAACTTCCTGAAATAAGCATCAGAATTTTGTAATTGTTCTGCCAATTCACAGATTTTGAGTTAAAATTGTCCTAATGAATAATACCAATGATACTTCCCACCATGTGTGGGTAATGCCTGGCCTGTTTCAATTGCACGGCTCTGATGGTATCACACTTATACCCTTCACTCTGAAATAAACATTCTCCAAAGCTCTCAAACAGATAGTGCTCAGAGTTTTCCCCTGGGTCCTCTTTTGAATTAAATCAATTAGGAGAAGGCCATATGTTCACCATATGTATGTCAGCTTGCCAGGGATTCTTAAAAAGAGACATTTAAAAAAAATCACAAATCACTTAAAAACACACAAACTGAGAAAGAATTAATCAGCTAGTCAAATCTCTATATAAATCAAGAGTTGATTAAAATTAGACAAGATAATGTCTGTCCTGATTATTGTTATATTGTACTTCCATTTTTTTCTCATTCTCATATGCAATTAATTTCTCAGGCAGTCTAGGGAATCAATCACTCTTTATCAAACTTTCTTTACCTGTTTATTCACCTGGAAAGAGTGAAGTGATTGCCAGGCCATTGATAGTTAATCTTAACAAAATTCTTCAGGGTTCAATAATCTACAGATTATATGCACTAATTGGTGAATATTTTTGGCTGTCCTTCATTAACTGGATTGTGAAACTGCTATGGCATGTTAGAGTTGGGATGTACAGAACTGGTCTCTTGGTCTGACTTCTTAATTGTACAGATGCTGTTATTTAATTTTGAGTCCCATAGAGTACCTCTCGTGATGCTTGGCACATAGCAAAAATTCCATACATATTTTGAAAATGGAAACATTAAGAAAACTGAGGGTTAGAGAAGTGACATGAGCAAGGTTATCTAACTAGAAAACAGATCTTCTGACTCCTAAACATTTTGCTTCTACACTACAAACACTAACGAATATTCTCTTCCGTGGGTTACCATACCCTACTGTATTGTCACCCATGCTAAGTACAATGTTTTCACCAGGGCATTTCTCATAACTGTCCAATCCCATCTCTCTCACTTTTCTTACATGTATTTGTGTTCTGGTCTATATGCTACCAGAATTTACCCTCATGTCTCCTTTTTTTCTACTTTTGCTTGAGCTCTTCCCTTCACATTGTTCATTTTTTCTACTCATCTCTACTTTTTAAAATCTTCTGGGCCTCTTAATGTGATTGGGGATGAATTCGGTAGAGGGTAGAGAGATGGGACTTCATCTGGTTTAAAAGTAGTTGATTATAAACAGCAAATACCCTAGGTGATTTCCAGAAGGGTGGCAGAAGGATGTCCTTGAGTATATGCAGTGAGATGCATTTATAGCTCTGATTACAGGCATTGAGGGACTAAGAATGTGGACAAAGATTCTTGAGTTAGTCTGGTTGGACTCAACCCTGAAAAAAGGTAAAGCTATGCAGAAATTATTTTTAAGGCATCACTCTTCTTCCTTTCTCCCTTTCCTTTTTTCATCCCCCAGATGCCGTCAAAGTTGTTCAGAATTCTAGTGCTATCCCTATGTTGGTTGACTTCACAAAGGTCAAAATAATATAAGTTCCTTCTTGCTTCTTGGTTTTGTCCTATACCAAAAACAATAACAAATTCCTATGTAGTGCTTCCCATGAGTCAGCAACTGTTTTAGAAAATATACATGTGTGTATGTATGTATATGTGTGTCTTTATATGTGTGTGTGTATATATGTCTACATATATATTTACATATATACATGTGTAAATATATATCTACATATATGTAGACATACATGTATATATACACATATGTGTGTATATATACATGTATTTATATATGTGTGTGTATATATATAAATATATATATATAAAATATATGTATTTTCCCCTTTAGCCCTCATAATCAATTTTGAGGTACATTATTATTTTTCTCTTACAGATGAGGAAACTGAAACATGAAGAGGTTAGACAACTTGGCTAGATTACCCAGCTAGTAAATGGCAGAGCCAGGATTTGAATCCAGTCAGTCTGGCTTTTTCGTGTGCACTTTTAATGGAGACATATACCCCTGATGTATATCCTCTTTTCCTCTAGGACCCGCTCACTGGGGTATGGTAAATGGGGTATAGTTAATTCTACTTCTACCTATCTATTCTGGCTGGAATTTCTCTTTGGCTTTTGAAGAAGTAAGCTTTTTTCCTTTCTTTATATCTTTTCAAGATTGAATATAGTTCCTTTTATGCTAAATTTAGTTTTCAAATAATTCAACTCATTTAAATCACATTAAAAAGTGTTTTTACTTACTTTCCACTTTCAGTCTTATAAATTATTCAGTTAATTGTCCATGACTTGACTTTAAATTTCCCATTTTTGTTCTCCACCTTCAAATCTCTTGGTTTAGTAGGAGTTCCTGCAGCTCTGCACAGCTATATCTTTGGGCAGCACTCACCATGAAATGCAGTTGAAGCTATTTTGCTCTTCTCCAGGCAGACCACTATCTTCCTTTTCAGTATCTTCTTTCAGATATCCATGATGACTGCTTTCATCTAAAAGTCCACTGATTGAGGGTTTTTTTTTTTTAAATAACATCCCCCAAATACCTGAGATCTATTATTTACATGTTGAATGAGATGTTTTAGCTCCTAAGTTATGTACACAGGTACAGAAGAGGCTTGGAGGAGAAGTATGTAAATAAATTTATTTTTCTACTGACATTGCGGCAAAACGATACAGAGACAACTATGTCCTATATATTTTTATTTTGGCAAAGATCCTTGAATTGAGGTTGGGCAAAACATTGTTACCATAAAAATGATGGAAATGCTTATAGTAAACTAGAATGAAGACAATGAAGGTAATCATAGGCAAGGGAAACATGATAGTTCAGGTGAAAAACAAGGAATAGCTGTATAAGACAAATTTACAGTAAGAAATGCTGAAACATTTTGGGAAGAAGAATCATGTATTTTATGGAGAGAAGTACTTATATTTGAAGAGGACATAGATTCAAAGAAAAAATAATGAATGGATTGGAAGTATTTCATTGTATTTTATCTCATTATAACAGGAAGTAAACAGACAAAATGAAATTAACACTTGGGACTCAATGCCCTGGTGGGTTTCTTGGAACCTTGCAAAAGGAAGGGCCATATGGTAAGGAGTGCCTCTGTGACAACATAGGCTCAGCTGAAATTTCAAGGATTATAAATCTTCTTGTTTCATCTTATAATTTGATGACCAGCTGGCATTGGGAAGTATAACATTGCACAATTAAGTGCTTATGGGTTTAAAAAAAAAAAATAACTTCCTCAGTAGCATCCGGATTTGGCCCCCGAAAAACAGAATGTGGCACTACTCCAGGATAATCATTAATCTGCCTCAGTAGGGCATCTTCCCACATGGGGGCCCATCCATAATGGTCTGTTGTAGTGATCTGTCACACCATATGGGGAAAGATGAAACAAGAGACTGAGCAGCAGAGGGACACACAACATAACTTGGAATCCTGGCAAAAAATGGAAAAGAAGGAAGGAAGCATTGCGTATCATCTGTCCACATAGCTGAGCAGAGGTCAAGTAGTTAATTACATGCCCATTGCTAGGTCGCAGAGTGTCATACAGACATAGAGGGGAAAGAGAACCAGCAGGGAGGGTAAATCAGTGTTTCTGGAGAGGTACCAAATTAAATATCAGGGAGCAGTTGAATGGGAGAGAGCGAAGCTCCTGGAAGCCACTGCTATGCTATGTACACAATGCCTGCTCATGTAGCAGGGGGATTACAGACAAGGCCTACAGGGATAGGAGATAAAGTCATGAGTGTGTCTAACCGTTCTTTATTATGGTAGCTGATGAACTCTATGCCCTTTTACAGTTCAGTTTTCACCCATCCCTTGTCCTACCCTATGCTGCAGCCACACCAAACTACTTATAATAATTCACATTTGTCTACTTTTTAGAGCTCAGGCCTGTCTGGAAGGGGAAGAGATGAATAGTTAAATGGGTAGTTGGGTGGGTCAGAAGAATGCATGCATGCGTGAATGAATAAATGCTTGCATGCAGCAACACTTCCCATAGCAAGTCAGCTACTTAGCACAAATGCTAGTGGCAGTTAGAATGTTCATCTCCTGGAAACAGAGTTGGTAGGATGCTAAAGCAAGCAGGTGAGGTGGGGTAGTAGACATAGTAAAGAGAAAAAAAGCATGATCCTTTGGGGAAAAGTGTGTGATTTTCTTATTTAAATCAGAATTTTCCCCATATAATCTACTTCTCCATGGTGCTTCAATTATTTAATATATGGTTTTCCATTAGCTCTGAACATTTTAAAACAGCAAACACAGGTACATTTTTAATGCAACATGTAGGAGTCATAGACTAACAGGTGTTGGGAAACGCAGCCTGGGAAATGATTGCAATCAAATGGGGTAGACGGTATTACAGCACATACTCCCTCAACCTTCTCCAGGTAAAACTGAACTAATGTGAGCTCAGCTGCAGCAGTGACAAAAGGGTTTGGTGACTGGGGGGAAGGAGAAAGGGTAAACAACCTATCTTTAACCTTTCAGGAGATGTAGCTCACTCAGCAGGCAGGATCTCAGGGCTATGGGACAGCAACTGCACTGTTCTAGCACAGCCAACAGGAAGTGAACGCAAACACATTCGCCTCAACATAAACACACACAGACTTCACCTATGGCCGAACTTCTGCCCTTGGGTGACCAACACCACTAGGACATGGGTCAAAAGGTTGCAGTATGACAGAAAATGCAGCCTTATTGAATGAAAAAGAAAATGAAAAATTCTTTTGTTTGCTTTACTCTGTGGTTTGCATAGCTAGTGTGATGTCATAATGGAGTTGAGTGGGAAAAAGAAGTCCCTGCTCTATCACAGTCTGAGAAAGGCCGTCGGAAATTGTTAGGCGTGAAAGAAAAAATCGTATGGAAGACCTACACAAAATAAAAGCAAGTCTCACTGCTTTTCAAGGGAAGTATAGAAGTGATTAGTCTCTGATGATAATAAGGTATGAGAGCAATGTCAGAAAATTTATCTTCCCATTATGCAGAGGATGGAGGAAATACAGATGCAGAGACACAGCTTGCTGACACACTCCCCTCCCTTCCTCTCCAAGGCACCCTCATCACAGTAGGCCAGAAAAAAAGATTTTATGCTTAAAGCTGTATGATCTGGGAGCACATTTTTTATGTGTGTGTGTGTGTGTGTGTGTATATATATACACACACACATATGTATATAAATGTATATACACACACACATATATACACAATATTTAAACATGTATATACGTGATACATGTGTGTATTTCCAAATACATATATACAAATCATGTACAAAAAGGCCTGTAAACATGAAGCTTACCTGGCAGATTGAATAACCTCACAAAGTGTAAGAACTGGGAATCTCCTGGTGTGTGTGGCTATTTCCATCCGTTCAAAATTTAAGCAACTCGGCAAGTTCTGGATGATTCTATTGCAGAATGTGTCTTCAGGGTAAAAAATTTTGATCATTTATGTGGGTAAAAAATCCTGATCATTTGAATGAGAACAGCCTGTGTTCAAATTCAATCAATCATTCTGTTGGTAAAGATTACATTTAACCAAAAAAAGAGGAGGGAGGGATAGCATTAGGAGATATACCTAATGTAAATGACGAGTTAATAGGTGCAGCACACCAACATGGCACATGTATACATATGTAACAAACCTGCACGTGGCACATGTACCCTAGAACTTAAAGTATAATTAAAAAATAATTAAAATAAAACAGAAAAAAAAGGAGACTGCATTGCATTTCTGAGGTTGTGGAATTCCAAAATGTCTGATTTTATTCTAGAACTTCTATTACTATGTGCCTTCTGATAGGCTGGACTTTAGCTACATATTTTTTCTTCTTACTATCTGAACAAATAATGAACTATTGATTTTCAAAATGAATTTATATTGGAGATAATTGAGCAAGTTTTTGGAAACACATACTACTATTATTTTTTAATGCAGTTTTCAGTAACCTGAATTAGAGCATTCATGATTTTTGTTTCCTAGGGGTACCCTTGTGTAACACAGCACAAGCTCTCAGAAGTGAGACTTTAGCTCCTTACAAATGCTGAGCAGACATGAACACCCTCCTGGGAGATTGATGAGTCCTATTAACCTTGTTGCGTAGATGGAAACTCAGAAACAAAGTGACTCTGAGGATTAAGAGGAAGTCAATGTCAGCATCAGGATTAGAATTCACACTTGCCTGGTTTCTCAGCCCATGACCAGCTCCCCCATGGATTCCTTCTTTGTCTTCCTCCCCAAGTGAGGGGACAGGGTGTTTCCAAACTTTAAAAGGATCCTGTTATCCTCAGGCCTCTGCCTTGTAGGAAGGTCCTTTCTTTTAATAAATTACAGAGCTGAGAAGTGACTTTGAGGTGATTTATTCTAATCTCCCTATTTTATAAGTGGGAACAAGGTCATAAAAATGCTAGAAACAATAAGAATGCCCATTTTGCAGAAATATAATTGAGAGGCAAGTGGGTGTAGTGAAAAGTGCTGGATAGAATAGGCTTTAGGGGCCTGGATTTGAAGCCTGACTTTGAATCACTGAACCTCAGTTTGTTGTCTGTAAAATGTAGAAAGCAATATTGCCTTTAGTGTTTTACGAAAATTAAATATGTGAAGTTCATAGATGTTGTAGGCACTTCTTCAGGTTTTTTGGCCATCCATGTTTTCATTTTCTTTCCTATTGTACTTCTAAAATTTCTCTCTGTGAGAAAAACAATACTCAGATGTTCTCACTTTAGGGTTTAATCCCAGGTCAGTGGGATTTTGTGAGACTTTAGTTTTGGAACTTCGTTGAACCCAGTGTCGGGAATTAAGACCTGACTGTAGCCCTCGGCAGTTTAATGCCCAGAGTTCTCAGTGTTTTCTGCAAGGTTAGCATTTGAAGAGCCCCCACATATAGAGTCCAGGGGGCTAGGCAGGCAGGTAGGTAGTCTGTGGGGTGGGGGTCACATCGAGTGTCAAAGTTCTGGAAGGTGTCACTCATTGGTTGGGCACTGATGCAGATCCGTAACTGAAATGTTTTCTCTACAGTCTGGGAGCCCCGTATTCCTTATCTCATTGCCCATTTC